CATTGAGTGGATGGTATATCCCGTATTACTGAATGCCATGATATCTAATTCCAGAAGAGCCCTTTGCAAATAAATGTCACTTTTTAAAATCTGATAATGTTGAAAAAAAATCAGTGAAAAAACAGACTACCTTTTATAAATTAACAATATTATTGGAGTTAAAATATACCATAAAAACTGTGAAATAATATTTTTGGACTTTTATAAATAGACTCCTAAAGTAGGCTTCTGTAGTAGGATAAAAGTTGGATTGTGCATTGCAGAATATGTGTATTAGCTGAAGTACATAATTTTTTTTTTCTTTTTTAAGGTGCGAGATGATGTTTACCAGAAAATATTGTCCAATAATCTTCCCAATCTGTTGGAGTATGGAAATATTACAGCTCTCACTCAGCTCTGGTGCTCTGGACAAATAACCAATTTTGAATACCTTACACATTTAAATAAGCACGCAGGGCGCTCCTTCAATGACCTAATGCAATATCCAGTTTTCCCGTTTATTCTCAGTGATTACACCAGTGAGACACTTGACCTGAGCAACAATAATATTTACAGGTGGAGTAATCTTGCCTGTTTGATTTTATTTAATAACTGCCTGGTCTGTACTTTGATTTTTTTTGTTTGTTTGTTTTTTTGGGCAATTATTTGCGACTGATAACATGATGCTATTTTATAGATCACATAGACTGAGTTGCTAAAATTGTATTTCACCGCCTCTCCCATCCTCTGGAGCTATATGGCTATCTCTGCCTCTGAAAACTCACCTCCCCAGCCCTTCATCTGTCCCTGTCCGGACCGTGGATCGGACACACCGATCGCCGACCTTGGCTTAATTATGGCAGGCTGCATGCCATAGCCCAGCGCAGGCTCCCTCCTTTTCAGTCATCAGTTGCTCGGACTCCTAGTAATCAGTGGTATCAGGGGTCCGCCTCTTCTGCAGTTATTAGTTGCTTGGACCGCCAGGAGGTCCTAGCAGCCAGTGATGTCAAATGTGTTCCCAGCATTACAGGAGGACGAAAGAGGATCATCTTCCGTCCTCTCCTGCAGCTTGCTCCACCTCCCGGCTCCCGCCTATGGCCTAACAGAAAAAAGATCATAAGGTATGCAGGGACAATAATATAAAGGGGCACTCCAAAGGACACAAACTATGTAAGGAGGCACTTTAGCGGGGACAACTAATAAGTTGTCACCATCAGGGTGGCCCTTACATTAATTATGAAAACAACCTACACTCTGATTTGGAACAATCTGTTTATGGGGACAACTAATTATTGTCCTCATCGGAGTGCCCCCTTACATTAGTTGCCCCCATCAGAGTGCCCTCTTACATTTAATTATGAAAGTGAGGGGCACTCTGATGGGAACAACCAATGTAAGTGGGCACTCTAATGGTGACAACTAATTATTAGTTGGCTCCAATTGAAGTGTCCCCTACATTTGTTGCCACAATCAGATTTGTTTTTATCAAGTTAACATATGCGAGTGCCTTCTTTTTGTGAAGGTTAAAAGTATGTTATGTTAAAAATAAAATGAAAGTGATATAATTGGCAGTTTTATTTTTTTTACTGCTTCATTTTACTAACATTTTCATAGCCTTATTGTAACATGTATTCGTACCAGTAACAGCTTATCAAAATCATATACTCTACTGCATTTTATAACGCGATAAAATTAATATTGAGCAGAATTAAGTTTCAGCCTATTAGTTTGGCCCTCCACAACAGTCCCAGTTTCTCATGTGGCCCGTTGAGAAAATTATTTGCACATCCCTGTCTTAAAAATTATTCATCTGTTACTTCAATCAGCTCATCCTTCACAGTTATTACCTTCTCTATCACTTGCCCTTACTTGTGGATTGTAAGCTCTCACGGGCAGGGCACTTCTAATCCTTTTATATGGTTTTGTGCTGTAACTGTACTTTGTCCCCATGCGTTTTAAAGCGTTGCACAAACTGTTGATGCTATGTAATAGAATAATTATAAGCATGCTAGAAGGTTGGACAGAAAGCTGCATTGAGTGGGAAGCCTTCAGTACTACTCTGTGCCAGGACTGTGGTTTAAGTACTGTAGTTGAAAATTGACTCAATTTAAAAGAAAACCTGCATTGAGAGAAACATGTAACTATGATTGTTAACCACCCTTAAACATGCTAGTTCCCTGGCTGTCTTGGTGATTCAGTGGCATCTATACTGATTTACAGATCTGAAAAGTATGCAGATCTAGAGTTCTGTTTTCATTTTATGAATTAAGTCTTTGGCTTACCAATATAACAAAGGTTCAAATTTGGTACAAATGCAAGCCAGAGGGAGCCAGGCAGCCAGAATGTGCAGGAGGTGGTGAGCAATGGTTCCACTGGTAATTCTTTCATTACAGGTTTGCTTCTTATGTGTTACACCTTATTGGTGTTGTTGCCAGCGTGTTTTTTGTGATTAATTATCTTTAATCTTGTAGAATAAACCTCCTTTAATAATTTTATATAATACATTAGCACTGAGATTTTATATACTACATAATTTTATATTGGTATACGAACCGCACTAGCCAGAGAATTCCAATACTTCAGACTTTATTGAAATTCACAGCAAATCCAGTGTAACAGTGTATGTAACAGCAAATACCTGCACCGCAAGCCACCAGCCAGCTACCACCTCTCGCATGTTTCACCCGTAGGCTTATTCATAGGGGTGAAACATGTGAGAGGTTGTAGCTGGTTGGGGGTTTGCGGTGCTGGTATTTGCTGTTACATACACTTTTACACAGGATTTGCTGTGAATTTCAGTAAAGTAAATAAAGAAGTATTGTAATTCTCTGGATAGTGCGGTCTGTTTGGATATTACTACATTCCAATGTGGAGATGCACCTATTAGACCAGCATCTGGGCCCTCCTGATGGCAGCTAAGGAATTGGAGTGGTGAGATTCTTTTGGTTCTACATACTTTTATATAATACATAAGAACTGAGATTTTTTGTTTTTCCATCACTAATAAGGATGATTATGATCATGAAATAATGTTAACTTGAGTAAGGATAAAGATATGATGATAATGTCACCGTAAATAGTTTAAAGAAGATTGCAGATTGGAGCATACTGCCGCATGTCCTAAAATAACAGGATATGTAATTTTCAGGCATGTACATGTGGGATTTATAGAAGAAGAATATTCTGACTGCATTAACAAAGCAAAAATGGAAGTTGTCCTTTCTCAGCTCATTTTCCATATTAGAAATGTGAGATTTTTGTTTTAAAGCCCTAGAAATGTTACTGTTAGTAAATGTTAGTTACTTTGTACCTACTGGCTAATATTGTTGTGTCTCTCGTAATGTGAATTTCATCTACCTGTTCATTTGCAGGAATCTTATCAAGCCTATTGCTGTACAATCTAAAGAAAAGGAAGATCGTTACATAGACAATTACAAGGTAAATGTAACTTCTTGTAGGAGATTATATCATGGCTACTTTAAATAAACCCTAGATGGAAAAAAACAACATACCGTATTTGCCGGCGTATAAGACGACTCGGCGTATAAGACGACCCCCTACTTTTTGTGTTAAAATATAGGTTTTGGGCTATACTCGTCGTACAAGACGAGTATAGCCCAAAATAATGTTTAAATGCACCCACTTACACCCATGGCGGTATTCCCGAGTGTGGCTCGGGGATAATTTTCAGTACCATAAGTGGCAACCCCGAGCCACACTCGTGATTACAGTCTCTTACCTTGTCCACGATCCTCGCAGCGTCCTCCATCTTCCGGGTTCCGTCCTTCAGCTACATACAGTATACCGCGCTGAGCCAATCACGGCAGGCTTTGCATTCATTAATACAGGCTTTGTATTAATGAATACAAAGCCTGCCGTGATTGGCTCAGCATGGTATACTGTATGTAGCCGAAGCTACATACAGTATACCCAGCGTATAAGACGACCCCCGATTTTCGGGCAGTGTTTTTGGGTCTAAAAACCCATCTTATACGCCGGCATATACGGTACTTTTAGGCTTTTTGTAGTCCCCAGCTTAGAAGGATGTACACTGGAAGAGGAAGGGCCAGCATTGTAAACTAGTCAAGCACCATGACTTTTAGAGTACTGTCAGTATAACATGGGAAACATAGTAACAGGAAGAGCGCATAAATCCTTGACTTAGCCGAACCAGTGTTAATTTTGGCACCAAATTTCATTTTCGTCTTAGTCTTTTGACGCAAATACATTTTTATTTTTAGACGCATTTCAGTCATCAGATTAATTTTTATTTTAGTCGACGAAATTCAAGTTGATTTTAGTCGACGGAAATTAAAGTCGATTTTAGTCGGCTGAGGCAGCTGAATGTCAAAACAGCAGGCAGTGGCTTGGAGCAATAGCCAGCCTGTTATTGGTTATTTTTATTTGCAATAGCCAATAGCAGGCTGGCTATTGCACCGCCCACTGCCTGCTGTCAATCAGCAGAGGAGGGAACTGAAGGAGAAAGTTCTCCATCAGGTCCTTCCCTGCTGATTGACAGCAGGCAGTGGGCGGGTGCAATAGGCAGCCTGCTATTGCACTTTAAGATATCCAAGAGCAGGCAGGCTATTGTTTCCAGCCGCTGATTGGAGACTGGACGCTGGTGATAGAACACCGGCAGAATAGGAGACGGAACGGGGCAGCACAGGAGATAACAGGCGGCCAACTCCCTTCCCTGCTGGTGCCAGCTGCAGTGATCTGTGTCTCACTCCCCTCTGCTGATGCAGACAGGGAGAGCAGCGGGTATTGAAAGGGACAGAGACCGCTGCAAATAACAGGGGACAGGAAAAAAGGTAATACTCACCGGAACCTCTGAGACGCCAGCGCTCCTTGCAGCCTATCTCCTCCTCCACTGCAGCGGTGATATGCTCCTCAGCATTCTCACTTCCTATACACTGTATTGGACGTGATGACTCGAGGATTCCTAGACCGCTACAGAGGAGGGGGAAGAGAAGCTCTAGGGACCAGTCTAAGAACCGGCCATCTCAGAGGTTTAGGTCAGTATAATTTTTTTTTTGACCCGAGGCAAAAACAGGCAGTTACTCCTTGCAAGGGTTTATAACATTTCTGGCTCAGTAGTTTTAGCATTACTGACTTGGAACCAGTATGCATTTGAAGATCCTGAGAAGTCTCTATCTCCTTGGTTCTCAACTAGTGGGTCGTGACCCAAAAGTGGGTCGCGACCCTGTGTTTAGTGGGGCACCGCATGCCTTCCACTTTTCTAGGTGAGAGGCTCCTTTGCCTACCCCTAGCGCAGCACTGTCGGTTCTAGCGCCAAGCAGCCATTCAAAATATGCTGCGTGGTGCTGAATGTCAGCTTGAGGTGGAGCTATGGCCTCAAGGGAGCTTCATCCATACATGCATTGCTTACAGCACCCTCACATGCCCTATAGAGGTGCCTGGACCGAAGTGACATCACATTCTGGCTCCCGGCACCTCTACAAGGCACGCAAGGGAGCTGTACAAGCAATGCACATATGAATGGAGCTCCGTCACAGCACAGCAGCCCACACTGGACCCCAGGCTGAGGATCCACTCCAGTTGCCATAAGGTAGGGAGACTGGGTGGATCTTAAAAAAAAAAAATTAATTTAAATATTTTTGGGAGTGTGGATGTGTGTGTGAGAATGCCTATGAGTGTGAGATTGTGTCTGTGGTAGTGTATGTATGTCAGTGTTTTTGTGGGCTTATTCACACTAGTCTCATGCAATTAGCGCACTGTACAATGCAATTCCTACACCTACCATGCGTTCTGGTGTGGGAGGTGCGTTGGGTTGCCATTCATTTGAATGGTACCCCAAACACACCTCCCAAATACAGCCCATACGCCCGCACTGGAACGCACGGTACCCTAATTCCGTGCATTCCATTGCAGTGTGAGTTGGGTTGCGATTTAATGACCAAGGACAAATGTGGGTCCTGAGGTTACACAGGTTGAGAACCACTGCTCTATCTTTATGCTGATTCTGGGTTAGTAATTGAAGCATGGCAGTCCAGCAGCATTTTCAAAATAAGACGGCAGCAATGGCAGTCTCCATATTTCTTGGAGGAAAGGTTCCCTGTAAATGCAATGGATAAAAGTGAGATCAGGGACTTGACTATGCAGTCTGGCACAGATGTCTAAATCAAATGACTGGCTGAACAGAATTGCATTTTGACCAGTAAGGCAGTTCACATATATGTACTGTATTTTAATTGTGAATTTACCTGCTTAACTGTAGTTCTTTAAATGTTATAGATGGTGATCTGTAATAACTGTATGATGAAATGCATCTTGAGTTCTGTTCAATGTATATAATATGTAAAATTTGCAATGTACCCTCTTTCATAATCTATAATAGCTGAAAGTGTTAAGCTAGCCATACACTAGTAGATTTCTGAAGGAAAGGTCTTTAGATCAGACACCTGAAGAATGTCGAAATCTAGTTTTATTACTTACATTGGATTTTGGAATTAATGCAGCTTCCCGAACGAACGCCGCATTAACTGTTAGAATTTTGTTTGTTCAATACAAATTTTCCATCCTACTCCAACTTTTTTCGTCACTACGATTGAAATTAATCGTTGATTTGACACCAACTAATAGAAAGTCGAAAAAGATCTTTTGTATAAAACTAAGTTTGGAAAACTACTAGTGCTTGGCCAGCTGTACATATGATCACAAGGATGTTATGATGAATTTAAAATATAAAAATGACAGGTGCATGGCTTCTGCTTGTTGCTGTGGTCTAAATAATAGGAGATAGTCTTCGCTGATTTCTGCAGAGTAGCCAAGCAGTATTTCTACCTACACAGAGCTGGGGTAAGGATCTGACACTGGCCAGAGTCTAGAGGACCTTATTATAAACATGTATTTGTGGGGCTAAGCAGCTCCGGTTTAAATGGTGATTTAAATGGCAAATTTCCCAGAATGTACCTTGTTTTAACTATCTTGTCTGTGTAAACATATTTAACTTACATTAAGGGCTGTTTTAGTGTAATAGATGAACTGTTTGAAGTGAATATCGCTGCTATAACTTGATGTTTTGTCTTAATTTTAGTATTTGGAAGATGAGTACTGTAAAGGAGATAGAGAAGACGATCCAATGCCACCAGTGCAACCATATCATTATGGATCTCATTACTCAAACAGTGGCACTATACTGCATTTCATGGTCCGATTGCCTCCTTTCACCAAAATGTTCCTGGCATATCAAGGTCTGATTAAACTCGAAATATACATTTCTTTTAAGGCAGAAAGGAAGACGTATAAGCAAATGCATAGTAATACGTGGAATGCAACTTCTCAAACTTTTGGGGGATATTTTAAAAATTTATTTTCATTGGAAAATATACCTGACATTTGCAATTTAAATAATGTATTATTTTTAATGAGTTTATCAAATATGCAATGTTCCTAAATCATAACTTGTAATCAAATATGTTCTTTATCTTGCAGATCAAAGTTTTGATATCCCTGACAGAACATTTCATTCCATGAATACAACATGGCGCTTGTCTTCCTACGAATCAATGACTGATGTTAAAGAGCTTATTCCAGAATTTTTCTACTTGCCAGAATTTTTAGTGAACAGAGAAGGTAAGTGATTTGTTATAACTAAAATGTTGCTTTACATTTTTGTAAGGTTTAAAGTGTGACTGAATTAAAAAAGTAAAGATTTGCTACATGATGGGGATAATTTTAAAAATGTTAATTGTTTCTAAGCAGCAACTAAAGTCTTTTGTCTGAAATTCCTCCTAAAAAAGGCCAGTGTATTCCCTGGTATGTGAGGGCGCCTACAGCTTCATAGTTGTGTATCTGCTGTGGGAATCTACGGCAGTGCTGCTTCTCACTGTTAGTGCTAAGAGATTTGGAGTTAAATTTGGTGATATCACTACTGTGCAGCTCACGGTTTTCCATGCTGGGGGCTCTAACATTAGAGAAGCAAAAGTCTTGCCTCTACCAAGATGGCTTCCTGCACACAGAGACCCAGTGCAGAACAAGGCATGGTTAATCAGTGTTGGAGAAAGATCAGTTGCACGAAGACCATGGATAACAGTGTTGACTACTAAAGCAGCACAAACGCCACTGCTGTGTTATCAAGTTTCATATAATTTGACATTAGGCGTACACTATCAGGAGAGAAAAAGGAAGCCAACTAAAGGACTAAGGAGAAGGCCATTTCAGACTTGCAATCCTGTCACTGGCAATAATTCTCCAGCATCAAAATTGATATGCAAAGGGCACAGCAGGACAGTGAAATACTCATCTGCTTGCATATGTCGCCTGAGACATGGCTGAGCAAGGTGTCGCTCTCTTGCTGGTGACATTCTGCAGGATTTTTGTCATCAAGTGACCCTTCCCTCATGTAGCTGCAAGCAGGCGAGTTTTCGCTGCACATTTAAGTGATTCTGTCACTGGCAATTTCTTGCCAGCAAAATGATCACTAGTTGTGGCATGGATCTAAAGGAAATCAGAATCACAGAAATGTAGCCTGGCACACCTATTCTAACTACAGCAAACTGAATTTTGTTTCTACTGAGACGAAAAGGCCACAACAGCAATACAATACATTTATAGAAGGATAGAGCCCCTGTCAACACTTTTTTGCTACCTGTGTCTGTATTGGAAATTTCCTCTCATTTACTGTCTCAGTGACCAAGAGTAGTCTGATTTAATCCCACTTGAAAATTATATAAATTCTATATTTGTTTAGTGGATACCCAGACAACTATTCTAGGATAAAGCAAATATGAAAAATGATTATAGTATGCACTCAGTAAATCTAGTTGCAGTTAAAAGCATGACAACTTTCTTTATATTTGTTTCCTCTTGGTGATTTATGTGACCTAAAAATAATATCCAGTTGCTGAACCTGAAAAGAAAGCTGATAGATGACCACATTTTGATGACCCTCCCTCTACCATGCAATATATGCATCTAAAAAAGGGCTCTGTTGCCATACACTGCGGCGTAGATCCACAGATAAAAGTGGGACACAAAGATTTTTTTGGTATATTTATGTGGGACTGTGACAGAAGAAATTATATTACCACACATTTAAATTCAAGTGGAATTAAAAGAGAAGTAGGGGATGAGTGAAATACACTTATCCCCATAGTCAGAGCCGACATGTGACACTGCAGCCACACGTCGGCTCTTTTGATCTAGAACTGAGCGATCACATATACAGCTTAGCTCCCGATCTTCTCTTTTGTCAATCACTGGTCCCCGCAGAGATTCCCCCTCTCCTCTCCGTTCCTCCAGCACTGACCTGTAGAGACAGAAGGGCGGGGGGGGGGGCAGGCACAGCTGGCAATCAAGCAGCGGGGTGAATCCCGACAATATTGTCAGAATCTTTCCCGGATGCAGTGCGGCTCTGCACCGTTAACACATAGCGGACAATTGCCCCTTATATGCAGATTTTGGGGTCACAGAAGGACCATTAGTCCTCCAGTGACCCCATAGTTTTCTCTTAACATTTCGGACATTTAAAAGTGTCAGAGTTTAAGTGGATTTTTTCCCCCCTCTATTTATAATGAATGGGCAAAAGCTATCTGCTGCCTTGATACAACTAATGTAAATAAAGGAATTAATTGAAAATATTCAGCAGACATTTCACATAGTTTCTGATGGGTGTACCTAAGAAAATAGATACATAAATCGACAGATGGAAATAACACAGTATAGCAATGTATTTTACAGAGCGCTTTAAAGGTTTGTGGTGTTAAAACTGTCTTTCCAACTAAATAGGCTTTGATTTTGGTCTACGTCAAAATGGTGAACGGGTGAATCATGTTAACCTTCCACCTTGGGCCCGAAATGATCCACGCCTTTTCATCCTGATTCATCGGCAAGCCCTAGAGTCAGACCAAGTTTCTCAGACAATTTGTAATTGGATCGATCTTGTATTTGGCTACAAACAGAAAGGACGTGCTGCTGTTCAAGCCATCAATGTGTTCCACCCAGCTGTAAGTATGAAAATAAAGGTTTTTCTTAATCACTTGGAAAAGAGTTCTGCCATGGTGTAATCTGGAGATTTTACTGAGCCACAAAATATAGGTTCTGGGGGAAATCCAACCAAAAGTGATGATAAATGTTTACATTTCCCTCCCAGCTTTTTATGTTTTGTAATAGCTTCTAGTGGTGTTATCTCTACATCAGTATTCCACATATAGGTCTTTATGCTGGGCCAATAATAGGGTCGGTTATTATATATAGGGTCTAAAATAATGACAGTCTGTGTACGGAGAGCTAGTTGCTTTACGATGCTATACTGTGCTAAATTGCACTAAATTACTGAAGTGGGCTACATATTCTTGTGTACCCCTTTGCTCACAGTTAAGAGACCTAACAGTCCTTTTTAGGACTACTTTTTTGTGTCTGTCAGCAACAACTATAGTTGCTGTTAAGGTGCTGCCCTCCCAGCAGCCGTTTTTTTTGTTTTTATTTCATTTTTTTATTTCGCCATACATTTTTTTTTTAGATTTTTAAAAAAATAATTGGATTGATGTTAGAGTTCCATGGTTTATTTTGGTGAGGTGTATATATATTTTTTTCCTTTTGCTAGTATTTTTCTTTTTTTTTTTTTTTTTTATTTCTGGGTACACAGCATACAGTGGTTGCTGACACCTGCAAAGCTGCTCTTTGTTTGCTGCATGTCACAGTATACTTGTGCAGTAAGGTAGTGTGCACCAAAGCTTCACATATTTATTGCATAAATATATACATTTTATATATACACGTTTAGGAGCGTGCCTATGGGAATGTTTGACCATTCTTCCAGAAGCGCATTTGTGAGTTCAGGTACTGATGTTGGACGAGAAGGCTTGGCTCACAGTCTCCACTCCAATGCATCCCAAAGGCTTTCTATCAGGTTGAGGTCAGGACTCTGTGCTGACCAGTCAAGTTCCTCCACCCCAAACTTGCTCATCCATATCTTTATTAACCTTGCTTTATGCACTGGTGTGCAGTCATGTTGGAACAGGAAGGGGCAATCACCAAACTGTTCCCACAAAGTTGGGAGCATGAAATTGTCCAAAATGTCTTTTTGTATGCTGATGTCTTAAGAGTTCACTTCACTGGAACTAAGGGGCCAAGCCCAACCCCACACCATAATCCCCTCTCCACCAAACTTTACACTTGGCACAATGCAGTCAGGCAAGTACCGTTCTCCTGGCAAACACCAAACCTAGACACCTCCATCGGATTGCCAGACAGAGAAGCTTGATTCGTCACTCCAGAGAACACGTCTCCACTTCTCTAGAGTCCAGCGGCGGCGTGCTTTACACCACTGCATTCGATGCTTTGCATTGCACTTGGTGATGTAAGGCTTGGAAGCAGCTGCTTGGCCATGGAGGGCCATTCCATGAAGCTCTCTACGCACTGCCAATCTGAAGGCCACACGAGATTTGGAGATCTGTAGCTATTGACTCTGCAGACAGTTGGTGACTTCTGCACACTGTGCGCTTCAGCTTGCTCTGACCCGCTCCGTCATTTTACGTTGCCTACCACTGTTACCCAAATTACTATTTTAAGTTATGAACCCGCTATATAAGTGTTCAAACTTACAAGTATATGGTTCTGAGTATTCAATGATGAGATTTGTGAGCTCAACACAATAACATAAATGTATTGGTATATAGTATCAAGATTTAAATACAGCAAACCAACAATCTATTTAACTACAACATACAAAGAAAAGATTTAAACATGCCAAATACACAGACATTGGTATCTAACAGACATACAGTTAAGTGGGGAAAGGGTACATGTATAGTTACCCATTAATCATCACATGAGGGCCCCATCCTGGTGGTCTAAAAAGACTAGCCACTTAACTTCTTCCCTCAATCGTTAATATATCCCCTGTGTCCATAGAGATGCATTGCGAGCCTTCGATTGGTTGCCTCCCAATGCCTACTAGGGATTGAAGGCTTTCCAAAACCCTCTATGCAAATCTTTTAAGATGAGTGGGAAATTCTAGATTGGCAGGTGTCCTTAGGCTAACCCCAGGCCATGATTTCATCTAAACCAGGGGGGCAATCTGGTTGTTTACTAGCGACAAGGAAACCTTTGATGATATTGACAACAAACTTTTCACTTGGCACAATGCAGTCAGGCAAGTACCGTTCTCCTGGCAAACACCAAACCTAGACACCTCCATCGGATTGCCAGACAGAGAAGCTTGATTCGTCACTCCAGAGAACACGTCTCCACTTCTCTAGAGTCCAGCGGCGGCGTGCTTTACACCACTGCATTCGATGCTTTGCATTGCACTTGGTGATGTAAGGCTTGGAAGCAGCTGCTTGGCCATGGAGGGCCATTCCATGAAGCTCTCTACGCACTGCCAATCTGAAGGCCACACGAGATTTGGAGATCTGTAGCTATTGACTCTGCAGACAGTTGGTGACTTCTGCACACTGTGCGCTTCAGCTTGCTCTGACCCGCTCCGTCATTTTACGTTGCCTACCACTGTTACCCAAATTACTATTTTAAGTTATGAACCCGCTATATAAGTGTTCAAACTTACAAGTATATGGTTCTGAGTATTCAATGATGAGATTTGTGAGCTCAACACAATAACATAAATGTATTGGTATATAGTATCAAGATTTAAATACAGCAAACCAACAATCTATTTAACTACAACATACAAAGAAAAGATTTAAACATGCCAAATACACAGACATTGGTATCTAACAGACATACAGTTAAGTGGGGAAAGGGTACATGTATAGTTACCCATTAATCATCACATGAGGGCCCCATCCTGGTGGTCTAAAAAGACTAGCCACTTAACTTCTTCCCTCAATCGTTAATATATCCCCTGTGTCCATAGAGATGCATTGCGAGCCTTCGATTGGTTGCCTCCCAATGCCTACTAGGGATTGAAGGCTTTCCAAAACCCTCTATGCAAATCTTTTAAGATGAGTGGGAAATTCTAGATTGGCAGGTGTCCTTAGGCTAACCCCAGGCCATGATTTCATCTAAACCAGGGGGGCAATCTGGTTGTTTACTAGCGACAAGGAAACCTTTGATGATATTGGACAGAGACAAAAGAGTGTATGCAACCTATTGTGCGAATCAAGGGTCTCGGCTCCGAAGTGTTCCTTAGATCCCATTGTCTTGACCATTTACCATTAACTGGCTACGCCTAATTACATTAAAAAATCCCCATGTAATCAATTCCTCGGGACATTATAAACACAATTTCCCTACTCTATTCAGTCACCCAACATAGAATATGTTTAATTACAAAAATAAAACTATATACATATGTCTTATGAAGATTTGACATAAACGCATAAGGTAAGACCACTTCTTGGCTGAGTTGCTGCTGTTTCCATTTGCTTCCACTTTGATATGATACCACTAACAGTTGGCCACGGAATATTTAGTAGAAAGGAAATTTCACGGATGGGCTTATTACACAGGTGGCAACCTATCACGGTAGCACTCTTGAATTCACTAAGCTCCTGAGAGCGTCCCATTCTTTCACAAATGTTTGTAGAAGCATCTGCATGCTTAGGTGCTTGATTTGGTGATTGGAACACCTGAATCCAATGATATGGAGGGGTGTCCCAATACTTTTGGCAATATAGTGTGTGTGTACACACACACACACCTTTATCAAGCATTTATGTGCATCTCTCTCGGAATCACTGATGTGATGTCATAAAATATGTGAATGTTGCACACACATGCTGTATGGTTTACTTTGGAGGCTCTTGTTCTCTGCATGACAAAAACATTTTTCTCTCCCGTTCATTGAAGGACACAGGGAACAGATCGGAGATCATGTACTGTAGGGTAATATCGCCACCTGCAGGAAACCCACTGTCTGGACGTGGTCCGCGCCATCCGGGTTTACGTAGAGTGCTACGGCTGCGTTTCGGGAATCGGATTCCCTGTTTGTCGTTGCAGATGGCCCCCGGAAGGGCAGGGCTGCCTCGTCGGCTACCATCTCTCGATGGATTCGCGACACGGTATCTCAGGCGTATGCTATTAAGGGGCGTGAGCCTCCTTTTTCTGTTACGGCCCATTCTACAAGGGCTGTTGGGGCATCTTGGGCTTTCCGTCATGGTGCCTCCGTTTCTCAGGTTTGTAAGGCCGCGACTTGGTCTTCTGTTCACACCTTTGCCAAGTTTTATAAGGTGGATGTTTTGGCATCTGCGGATGCTGGTTTGGGGCGCAAAGTGTTGCAGGCGGCCGTTTGAGGGGATTTTTTTGTTTAGTTGGGTTTGTTGTTTCTGTTGGCCCACCCCTCTTTTTTGGTACTGCTCTGTGACGTCCCTACAGTACATGATCTCCGATCTGTTCCCTGTGTCCTTCAATGAACGGGAGAGAAAATAGGATTTTGGTACTCACCGTAAAATCCTTTTCTCTCCGTTCATTGAAGGACACAGGGCTCGCCCCTCTATGTGGGTGTGTACTCCTTTACTGCTTGTTACTAAACTGGAGACTTCTCAGTAGGTGGGGGGTTTGGCCACCGGCAGGGGCCGCCCCTAGGCTGTAATTGGTCTTTAGGTTTTTTTGTGCCTAGCGTCCTTCTCCTGCAGGTGGCGATATTACCCTACAGTACATGATCTCCGATCTGTTCCCTGTGTCCTTCAATGAACGGAGAGAAAAGGATTTTACGGTGAGTACCAAAATCCTATTTTTTATGTGTATATGTGGGTTTTAATCTGAATGTAAAAAAACACTGGTTTTAACTATAGAAATACAAGCTCATGCATGTACCATGAGAGCCCCATGCACAAAAGGTAATTAAGTAGCCAAAAAAAGCCTTCCTCTTCTTTCCACTCCCAGACGCAGCGCTAATGTGCCTTCTTGCTACTCACACTCTTCTGCTTATCCCACCATCCCACCATAGCACCACAAATTGGCAATGAGGAGTCATTAGAATTATTTGATCACTGAAGCATTTATTTCAGATATTGAGGAAGATAGTGCCATGACCATAGAGGGCGGGTCATCAGGTAGGGAACAGCAACATGCAGTGATGTACCGACAGCTGGAGCCTACTGCAAAGTGGTCTCCAGTGATGAGGAGGTGGATGATGATGTGGCAGACCATTTGTGGGTGCCACCGATTTAGTGAGGAAGCAAGTTCTGAGGGAGAGGCAGAGGACTTCGCCTAGGGGTAGGAAATAGCCATCTTATTCCATCTGACAGCTCTGCCCCCAGGACCGGTCCATAGAGCTCTGCAGTGTGGGTCTTTTTTATCATATTTGCTGCTGACAGCACTGTTGTAGTCTGCAGCCTCTAACTGCCTCAGCCATGGTAAAAATTCCAGCTATTTGTGTACCACATGCAATTCTTGTGGTGTTCAGCATTTGAAAGAAATGAGGTAACAAAGCCAGGGCAAAAAATAAATGGAGAGATTATCTAAATTAGGTATGCTACCTACATAGAAGGAAAGCCAAATTGCAATTAAATTGTTTTAATATATGAAATAATCTATAACATGCTATGTTTACAGTGTATAGCTATTTGTCACTTTTTAATGTCTTTCTGGTCTGTAATTATACTTAATTTTTTTAAAATGTTTTTTCTTTTCAGACTTATTTTGGAATGGACGTTTCAGCAGTTGAAGATCCTGTCCAAAGGCGAGCGCTGGAAACAATGATTAAAACATATGGGCAGACACCTCGACAGCTCTTTCACAGTGCACATGTGTGCCGTCAAGGATCAAAACTTCTTATGGAAGGAGAACTTCCCGCTGCAATGGGATTGCTAGTACAGCTTGCATTTAGGGAAAACAGGGAGAGCTCAAAGGAACCTTCTTACCCTGTAAGTAAAAATACTTTATACCTGCAATTTAATCTAAAAAGTATATGCAAATAATAAATTATAGGCATAAGACCGACCATAAAGTATTTATATTTTCCTTCATACCACCCATCTTCAGTGGGCTACCTGTTACTCCGAACCTAATCTGGGTTGTATTATTTAGCATAAATAATCATGAATTAATCCATTAATAAATCCAAGCTACAGACACTGAACTCGTGATGCAGCACTGGCAGCTGAGAAAAGTATGGTAGTATGGCTGACTACATAAATAGGAAGTCCTGACCTATGCACAACTTTGAATATTTGCTGATTTTGGGTAACTCTTTCTTGCATTCCAAAATGGCTTTTATGAATGTTAAATAATTGCCATATCCTCTTATATATTGCTTATATTTTATTTTATTTTTTTTAATTGGCTAATATACATTCTAAAAATATTTGCAACATGTCTATGTTTTTTTGGAACAATTACCATACTGGAATTCACAAGTAAGTGAATTTAAACATGTTTGGAATAAACCTAGGTAGTCAGAAACCCCCCCCAAAAAACACTTCTATGTTAAAATCAGTCAAGCTCAAATCAAGTTAGTTAATCTACTGACCTGTGCAGTCAAACAGTTTTAAGGACTCATTTTCCTAAAGAGGTGTTTCAGATGTTGAGATCTCTCTCTCTCTCTCTCTCTCTCTCTCTCTCTCTAAAAAATCTATATATATGTGTGTGTGTGTGTGTGTTTGTGTGTGTGTGTGTGTGTGTGTGTGTGTGTGTGTGTGTTTTTATATATGTATATATAGATATGTTATACAGTATGTGTGTGTGTGTGTACAGTATATACATATACAAATATTAATCTTAAACATTGTGCAAATTGTCCTTTTAATTTTATCTCCTTTTTTTTTTTCTCTCTCCCTGTTTCTTTTTTAACTGTAATAAATGACTTTGTTTTCTTCTGAAAGAGTCCATTACCTTGGATAAAAGGCTTGAAATGGGGAGAATATGTTGGCTCCCCAAGTTCTCCAGATCCCATTGTGTGCTTCAGTCAGCCTCATGGAGAGAGATTTGGCTCCCTACAGGCTTTACCAACTAGAGCTATATGTGGCTTATCAAAGAAATTCTGCCTAATGATGAGCTACAGTAAGGAGCAAGGTATGTTTTTAGGTGTATTATATCTTGAATTCTTAATCAAAAATATAATTATAATTTTGTACAGTAAAGATAACACATCAGTTGTGTCAGTATTTTCATTAATATTACAACTCCAAAGTGTATGTTGGTCAGATAGTCCATTTTGGTATACATTTTTCTTTCCCATCCATTGAGAGACACAGTAGGTCTCACCTTTTAGGTTATACTGCCTCCTACAGAAAGATTGGACACAGGAAAAAAAAAACTAGGCCAGAATAACACCTCTTACTACCAACATGTTGTTTGCTAGTGTCATAGGAGGATGGATGTCTTTTCTTCATCCTTACTGTGTAAAAAAAACTAACCTATTGCTAGCACGTTTTTTCTTTAACAAGACTCTTATCTACACTGCTGCTAGAGCTGATCTCTTCAATTGCAGCTATCTGGTGCTGCTGCCCTTAGCCTGGCTTTTAGAGTGCTGGACTGGACGTTGCGCGGAAAGCCTGGAAGCTACCTTTGTGCACTGGGTTCTGTGTAGGGCGCCTTCCATTCTCTTTTCTGGTGATAAAATAGCTGTTTAGAACTTTCCAGGTCCAGAGCTGCTGGCATTGCCTCAGCCTTTGCCCTGGCTCTGAAGCCTAAGTTTGTGATTTGGCCATTTAGATTGATCATCAGGGGCTACTTCAAATACATTGGTCGCTGGTCACTTTTAAAGTCTCTGTTTCCTGCCGGTTTCCACTCTGGATGGGTTAATGCTTTGGGATTGAGCGCTGATATCATCTACTGAGTGCAGTCTCATGGGCACACATGCACATGCTGTTTTTTCCACCATACACTGTCAAGTAAGCATCTCCCCAGTGCTACTCTTGCTTTGCAAAGAGCCACAAGGAACTTAAAAGAGAACTATGAGGTGAGTGCTTTTCACTCACCTCATAGTTCTAGCCGACCTGTGACAATGAGACTGTCACAGGTCGGCTCAGTAGATCGGGAGGTGAACGAACACATACCGGCGTTCGCTCACCTCTCGATCCTGTCACGGCTCTCCTATCTCTAGATAGGCCTAGGGTGACGGGAGGATGCTAGTTTGGGAAAAGCCTTAACCCCATAGTTCTCCTTTAATTTTGAAATCTGTTCTTGCTGCTCACCTACAGTGACATTGTAAACCCTCACCTGCTACAGCCTGGGTTTCATGAGTACCTTAGGCATCATACCCTGAGACTTGCGTTTCCCTACTGCCATGCATGATTCTAAAACATAGGGGAATGGGGACAGTCCCACTGTACCAGGTGCTCCCCGCTCACACCCTACTAAAAGTTTAGGTGTTGCTTGCAGCACACCCACTGATGCGGATACATTTCCTTGAGTCTTCTCCTTGTTTGGAGTCTTCCTTAGTCATTGTGGCATGTTTCTCTGCCCTCTTGGCTGAGGTTTTTATTAGTCATGCAAGACTTTATCCCAAATCCCCAATTATTTGATGACTGCGATTGTAGAGGCCACAAGCACACTCCCATGCCTTCTCCCTCAGATTATCGATCTTATCTTATTCTGGATAGTCCCCATAAGGGTGCATGAGCTTTTAGTGCCACTATTTCTAGGTCACTCACTCAGGTCTACCAGGTTGGTGTTGTAGCCACATCTGATGCCAGCTTAAGGTCGTAAAGGTCCATCACGCAGTTATTTGAGGTACTGGCAGCCCCCAGTTTTCTTTTGTTGTTCTTGGGTCTGTTAGCATTTGTTGGCTGTATTGTGCCACCGCTTAGTTGGACTGCTTTTGGACAATCCGAAGTTAAACGGTTATTAAACCCTCAGGTGTTGTCGCATATATCTACTGCTAGCAAGCAGTGGATAAATGCAAAAACTTTAAATAAAAAAATAAAACCCTTTGAAACAGGTTTAAACTTACCTGTGTCTTCACCGCGCACTCCCTTCCGAAAAGCTTGGGCGGCCGCAAAGGATCTTGGGCGGGGCGCATGCGCAGTTCAGATTTTCAGCCGGGAGACGAGGAGAGACACAAAATAAGTCAATGGACAGCGTGCACCCGCATGCAGACACCGTGGGACAGGAAGTGCCAGCAAGCACAGAGGAGTCCGCGCTGGAGAGAAGGCTGAAAACGACAGGGAAAAAGAAGAAGAAGAAGATCGGATTTAGAGACATCATTTAAGGTAAGTGCTGACACTAACATTGGGGGAGGGAAAAAAAAATGTAGACTTTAATGTCACTTTAAGACTTTCTGTGTCCCTCAATGGAAGAGAAAGAAAATAGGGTTTTTCTACATACTGTAAAATCCTTTTCTTGGAGCCCATTGAGGGACACAGGACCCACCCCTCTGGGTTTATGACCATGCTCACAGTACCGAAGCATGCTGGTATTAGCAGGAGTCATGCTGGACAGGTCTACAGTTTTTTGATTGCCAGTGTCTAATTCTCCTGGAGATGGCAGTTTACCCCAACGGTGAAAAACTTTTGTGTCCGTCAATGAACTCCAACAAAGGGTTTTACAGTGAGAACAAAAAATCAATTTTTTTTATTTTTTTTTATTGTAAACTTTAATATTTAACGTCAAAGGGATAGCAAAGAATACTGTTCTGCATACATTGTTGTCTGATTATAATGAAAAATAAATAATCCTAGGTGTCCGAAGTATGCACAGTACTGACATTCAGTGGTCAGCAATTCTCAGCTGGGGATATCCTGATAACATTCTAAGACTGAAGAGTAAACAAAGTGAACCCCCTGTGAATTTCATTCAGTGTTCAGAACATCACCAGGTAATGTATTTTTTTTCTTCAGAAAGATGAAAATGTGCACATTCTGAAGAATTTAGATATGTCCTTTAGTAGACTGCGAAATGTGAAAATAGATGCATGCAGCATATAGGGTGTGTAGACATAATATTGCAGACATTATATGATGTGTCTTGGAGTGTTAATGTGATTTAAAAATCTTTGGACTCTTCAGATGTTCGGACGGGAGCGTGCGGCGAAGACCCATGTAAGTTTGAACCTGTTTCAAAAGGTTTTTTTTGTTTTTAAAGTTTTTGCATATATCTTCTGGTTGCTAGCAGTAGATATATACAAATAAAACCGTCAGGGTTTAATAACCCTTTAATACTGATATGAGGGCAAGCCTGTTTCTCATCTTTTAGAATTGTTTTGTTTCTAAATATCTTGTACAGTCAGAAGCTCTCAGGCAGAGGTATCTTCAAAAGGCCAAACGTTTTGTACCTTGTTATTATGGATTGTCTTGTAAACAATTTTCAGATGGAGAATTCAATTAATCTGTATTGCCTATTATAAGAATTTTTCAATGTCACTTCTATTTTTGGCATTGGTGTACCCAGGTCAGGACACAGGATGTGCTCTCACCCAGGTACAGCCAAATGCAGAGTGCTGTGCAAGTAAAGGCACAGCTGGGCAGATTAATATCTAATATAAAATAATAGTTCTGGTGCCCAAATAATTCAGAGAACACAGCTGTACTCTGAATTATCTCTTGCAACATGTATAAGGTTTTATTGTACTTGAAAGTATACAACCCCACTAGGACCAACATGTATAAAAGCCATATTCCTGCTGGGAGATTGAGTGTGGCTGCAGTGTTTGCATTGTTTGGTCTTATGAGTGGGATCAAGCCTGTCTACAGTAGCATTAAAGCTTCACTCCTGGCACTAGTGGCAGCTAGTAATTCTTCTCCTTCCCAAAACGTTCATCACACATCAACCTTCAAATATATCACCACAAACAATAGCACAGAGCGCCCAAACTATGTGAAGAATAGTTTTTTATTTACAATAAAGTAAAAAATCAATGCTTATACTCACAAGGGTTTCTCAGTGTTTCTCAGGGTTCTGTAATCCTTCAAAAACTGGTACACAACCAGTTTTAAGCAAATGACACAAAGACCGTCGATTCGCCTGCTGTCATGCTGTTAGATGGTCTCTAATAGTCTTGGCTGACTACAAGAGACCATGGTGGTTAAAGAGAGACTGCAGCATTGTACATCTATTGTATATGATTGGTCATGTCAATGCTTTTTAGAAGACTTTTTTTACTATAATTCTATCCCCTGCAAGCCTGTGGCTATCAAACTATGCCACCATTAGCCCCATTTTTCTTCCTACAGTTAAATACATCACCTGCAAAAAAAAAAATGATTGTAAATATGACGTTCAAAGAAAGAAAATTTTTACTGTGTTTTACTGGGTTTTATTGTGCCCATTATTTAGCATTTGTTTAATTTCATGATTCTTGGTAAAATAATTTTGACTTCTAGGGGAGGGTTTTTATAAAAAAAAGGTATACAGCTCTAAAATATGCTAGGCAAAGACAATATACAGCTTGCTAAATATGTTAGGCATGCATTGAACTTTGAAACCACCATTTAGTTATTTGGAATATCAGAAATAAATGTTATTACTTCTGGTCTTTAGACTTAATCACCTAACGTCATTTATTCATGGTAAATTGTATAGTAGTTAAAAATATCCTTATGTGCAATAGGTAACAAGTTGTGCTTGGGTGCCAGACAGTTGTCAACTTTATACTGGGAGCAAATGTGGAGTAATCACTGCATACCTGAATCGTTTCACTAACACAACGGTATGTTCAAATGTATTTTGTTTGTTGCATTTTATTAGTTAATGGAGAATCTGTCAGTGTAACTCTAATTGTACTTTCTAGATGTATGACACATTGAGTGCCCATTTACACCATTGTGGTTTGTATGCTCCAAATGCACCACTAACGCATCAAAACAGATGCATGTACCATTTCTAGCAGTGCACTGCACCATGTTGCAAAGCACAGCCATCTACAAGGTTTTGTTACCACAACACAGTAGTGTTGAATATACCCGAATACAGTTACATTACACTGTTCTAGCTTCAGACTGTAGTGTTTACTTTTTTGGTTTCCTTTAATAGCCTGTGTTAGAAATTATTTTTTGAATGACACTTTTATGTTTTTAAGCATCTTAACCAGTTGACATCCGCGGTGTTAAACCCCCTTCCCATCCAGGCCATTTTTCAGTATTCAGCGCTGCGGTAATTATAATCTTCATCAAAAAATTTCCAGTTTTATGAAAAAACTTGTGACTTTAATTATATAGCATAAAGCCAATTGCATACAATGATATAGCAAAAAAATTAATACACAAATATATAATTAAAATATATAGTTCAGAGAATAATGCAGCGTTAGTGTTCCCTGAAAATCACTTTGTGTGAAGTGATTTTCAGGGAACACTGACGATTAACGTACGATAATCGCGGATGATCCCGCGATCGTACGATAATCGTAATGTGTACGTGCAGTGTGTGATCGCATATACTGTAAGGTCGTACGATTTTCGGCAGGGTGGTAGCGCGATCACAAGACGAAAGCCGCACGGGCCGAGGTGCGCAGGCGCACACTACCCGCTCACCATTGCAATCAACTGTAAGCCCTCCCCTCAGCGGGGAGGACTTGCGATGATCGCAAGTACGATCTGCCTTTCCAAGATGGGCAGTTCGTACGGAATTTTAATCACCTTACAACCATCACACAATGAAAGTCCTGCGATAGTTGTAAGGTGTATGGGCAGCTTTAGAAGTTTTTCTGGCTTGTGAGGATTCTAGACGAAAATAGTCTTCAACAGGTGTAATAGCAAAGTCTTCTGTGTGGGTGTGTCTCTCCCAGTGTCTTAGTCTTAGGCTGGGCACACACCTTACAACCATCGCAAGACTTTTGTCTTGCGAAGGTTGACTGTCCTGTAGTGTGAACTTTTTCCTTAAAGGTTTCCACTTATTATATACATATTCTGACTTTAAAATAACTATAGGCTAATCTTATAAGATCATATTCTTATGAAGTTCTATTCTCAATATACATTGACGTAATGAGGTTTAACACTCTCAATATGGCTTGACCAAAGTACTAAGTCATGTCAATTTCTAAATTACATACTTCAATCTATTTTTAAAAACACAGTTCTTCGCTTTAGACATTTTTAACAGCTGTTCACACTAATATACTCATGTTCTGACATTTCCCTCAGATTTCAAGTACAACACAAATAGATGTCTGTCTATTCTAAAGTCCCATTCATGCAAGCATGAGGTCATATATGTTAAATCGTGGGCACATTCTTTTATTCCTCTTAAGCCAAATCATATTTGAATCTAATTATTTTTCAGCATGGTACAAGATCAAACCCAGCCCCAGTGCATTTCCCAGTTTTTCTGTACACCACTGCATTGATCATAAAAAGATTTATGGCTTTAGGAAATGGGGAAATTAGAAGTGTTGACCATAGAGGTCCTCCTCACTAGGATTATATTGTTTAATACTTAACATTGGTGGTCTGTCATTGATATGAAACCATTTTCTCCGGTTTCTTGTTCTACTGGAGATGGTTGTCAGGTCATTATTGTAGGACACACATAGTGATTTTGATCATGTTTTTAATAGATAATTATAATAAATTTAGATTTTTTTTAAATATATTTTTGTTATTTGTGCATTGTTTTCCAAAGGAGTATATCCCTTCGGGGTTATCTCTTTCTTGTTATCATATATTTTGGGTTTAATACTCTTTGGGAATATATACTAGATAATGTGTTTGCATTTTAGAGACTTGGGGTCTGGATCATCTCGGTTTCCCTGGTTTGGGGATCCCCCATTACACTGTTTTACAATTTAAGATCACTGGAAATTGGCAGAAGCCATGCTATGTCTTTGACTTCATCCAATTTACATTTGCAATATTGGAAGAAGGAGAAGTGATCACACACACTGCTCCTAGTTTACTTTTTGTATTGTTTCACATTTGTATGACTGTTTGTTGTAAAAAGTGTTTTTACTAAAACCATATTAGGGCTGTGCTTATGGTCTAGATAGTGGTACAATTGATTTTCTACCTGATGATGGTATAGGAGCACTACATTGAACACCATTGTAATATAGCATTCCTTCCACCTACCAATTTAACAAGGCTTTCTTTTCACTGGTCACCAGTGTATAGGGGAACATCTACCACTGGTTACCATTGTAAGTAAGAACCTCTCCAACTGACCACAAATGTAAAGGTAAACTCTTCCTCTGATTTCCAGTGTAAGGCGGTACTTTTATGGTAATCCCCATTGTAAAGGAGCTGACCTGCAGGGTAGGAGAACAATGTTCCACAGACCATGAATTTAAAGGCGTACTGCAATGCGAGTTTTATCATCTGCATTAATGGTTAATATCATTAGTTGCATTTAACAATTATTGCTGAAAGTATTGTCGTATTGAGGAGGGGGTGTTTATAATCTGGTGTAGATACTGCAAACCTTATTCCTTTGTTATCATATCTAAAACGTAACTTTTAGCATGAGTTCACTGAGACGTGAAAATTACTTCAGGGTTCCTTCATGGTAAAAAGGTTCAAAAAGGCTGGTTTAGATGCAAATAATGCATAGCTGTTGTTTTTTTTTAATTTATTATACATGTTTATATATTCCACTGAAGCGTACATTTTTATCTTAAGCATAAACTTGTCAATGTTTTCTATTAATTATTATGCAGCCGATGGAAATTGAAGTTGAAGCCCGGGTGCACCTATATGGTCATACTGGGGAAGTTACCAGCCTGTTTGTTTGCAAACCCTACAGCATATTAATAAGTGTTAGCAAGGATGGGACCTGCATAATATGGGATCTCAACAGGTATGAAAATTTGGTTTGTTTTTACCACTGAGACATTCATTTCCCCTTGCTGTTTTTTGTTTAAGCTTGAATTGAAAAGCAGGCCTGCCACCATCTGGCAGGTAACTTGTGGTGTTGTGGCTAGTCATACAAAAGTAGTATTTCTCTACTGTAGGAATAGTGGCAATGAATGAATTGGATGTAAAGCCAGCAAAGCTACCCAAAGTGGACAGATTCAGATTTGTGCAAATCAGTTTGTATTGATCTGCTGGATGCCATATATTTGGGCTTGGTTAATTGTCCACTGGCTCTTCCTTGAAGTCTTATCATAAAGAACATTTGATTGCAAATGCTGTCATAGTCCAAACTCTGTAATAATTGCATAGGATACAGTAAGCTGAGATTTGATATGATGGGACTCTTTAGTCTAGTTATGCTAAGGTGGAGTAAGGTAGTTTTCTCATAAACATTTAGGATCAATTTTATATGTTAACTCTGCGGAAAGTAAAACAAACAACGCCTGAACCCAGTATTGAAATTTTGGTATGTGTTCGTAAAACTGTACATATCTCTGTAACTACTTTGTACATATCTCTGTAACTAACTAGGGTTGTATTTAAAAACAATTCACAGAGCCGTTCACCTTGCAAATCTCTGTGAACATTCATTCTGTGCAAATACAGGCAAAAACAAGCGTTCCCGGTATATTTCCTTTTCAGGTCAAATATATTGAATATCACAACATGGCTAATTTAAATGGTTTAAAACAAACATTGATTAGACCCTCACTAACCATTAGAAAATCAAATGTTCTGAAAACAATTTTTTTTAGCTTAACCACTTGCTGACCGGGTTGTTTATACCCCCTTCCTGGCCAGGCCATTTTTCAGCATTCAGCGCAGCAGTACTTTAACTGACGTTTATTCCGTCGTGCAACGCTGTACTGAAATTAATTTTAATACCAAAGGTAGAGCTTTCTTTTGGTGGTATTGAATCACCACTGGGGTTTTTATTTTTTACTATATAATGAAAAAAGTACCGAAAAGTTTGAAAAAAAACCTGTTCTCCCTACATTGATATAAAACATTTATTATTACCCACATTTTTTGGTTAAATATAAAAGACGGGGTCACGGCGGGTAAATACACACCAAACATGTCAAGCTTTAAAATTACGTGTACCCAATCCAAATCCCAAGCTCTTGATGTCACCTTGACGCCTGCAACATTAGCTGCACTCAAGCTCTCCTTCCCGTTCACATGGGCATCCGCCTGACCCCGACCTATGACACCCTGTACGCAGCCAACATTCCCCCCCTCCTGAAATCTCTCACTACTTTGCTGGCCTCCTGGCAGAGATTTCCCATCTCCTGGATAGGGAGGATCCATGCAGTGAAGATGACCTTCCTGCCCAAGTTGCTTTATGTGTTCCGGGCCCTGCCGATCCCCATTCCTGGCCATATTTTTCGCATTCTCCAACGAAGGATACTCACATTCATTTGGGGCAACTCCCGTCCCCACATTAACCAAAAACTACTATATTGCCCCAAACTCAGTGGAGGTCTTGCAGTCCCCAATCTTCGATCGTACTATGCGGCGGCCACCATTGCTCCCTTAGCTTTATTACATTCAACATCCGAACTCCCACTATGGGCGTGCCTAGACATGGTGGACTGTCACCCCCTGCCCCTAACGTCCCTGCTGTGGCTCTCCCAAACTGACCGCCCCACTAATCTCAGCCCGATCCTTAGACACTCCCTGAAGATTTGGGATGGAGTTCGGTACTCCGGCAATCTGATGTCACCTCACCTCCCTCTACTGCCCTGGCTCAACTCTCCATTATTCCCACCTGGTGCCACCGATCCTCACTCGTTCGCATGGTGGTCCCGTAACGACCTGACCACTGTACACTCCCTCATCTCGCTCTCCGGTGTGAAATCGTTCCAGCAGCTCCACACCAATAGATCCATTCCACTCCGGGAATGGTTCCGCTACACCCAAGTAAGCCATTTCATTAATTCGCTCCTGAAAAACACCTCAGCTCCCTCGAGAATTACCCTATTCGAACATTGCTGCAACTCAGATCCGCACGCCCCAGATGTCATCTCTCTGATCTACTCTTCTCTACTATCCTCCACTTCTACCACCCTTGCTCCTTATCAGCATCAGTGGCATGAGGAATTGGGCAGATCCCTAACCCTTGAGGACTGGCAGCATACCTGGTCAGCAATAGCTCGTTGCTCGAGAACTCCTACAAAGTGATGTACCGTTGGTATTACACGCCTGCCCGTCTGGCGAAATATATCCCCTCCTACTCTCCGCACTGCTTCCAGGGCTGTAGCGCATCGGGTACCATGATCCACATTTGGTGGACATGCCACCGGGCGGCACACCTCTGGAATCGGGTCTACGATTTACTCAATTCTCTTTTCCAACTCACCTTAACAAAGGATCCGTGCGAGGCATTGTTACTCCAGCCAATTCCACAGCTGACGCGTTACCAGAAACACCTTGTGTCCCACATTTTTGTTGCCACCAAAATGACAATCGCCAGAGCGTGGAAAACTCCAACCCTGAGCTTCGGGGAAGTTAAAAATCACCTGGACGATATTTTGGTGAACGAGAAACTGACGGCGGTCCTGTCTGACACGCATTATCGATTTCTACTGATTTGGCAACCTTGGATTGACTACTCTAAACCACCTTCCTTCGATCCACACCTTCTATCCATTTAGAGGCTCTGTACTTCCCGCCTCCCCCTGAACCCCTCTCCCAGCGCACCACCCTCCCCTGTCTTCCTCCCCTTTTGTTCTTTCCCATACCCGGTCCTCCCCTCCTTCCCCATTTCCATGTCCTCTTCCTTTAATTCCCCTATTATTATCCCTATACTGATATGTGCTGTTTGACCCCTGTCTTATCTGTACCAGATGTCCCGGGATAGTGGGCCGTAAATCCCACTGGCTACGGCCCCACGATACCCAGGCATTGGGCCTGATAATCCCTCCCCTATGATGCTCCATTCCATGTTAATTTGGGTCTTACCCACTGAACCTGAACTGCAATACCCCCTTCTAACTCCCAAATTGCACTTTGACACTTGTCTCACTGCTCCTGTTATACGGCCTGCAGGGCTCTGCACGATGCTGTAGCTGTTTGTTTTCCGTTTAAGTGCCTTATTGCAGGGCTTGCATGCCCTATTTCTGTTCTTTTTGTAACCTTTTATGTGAAAAACAGTCAAAAACCAAATAAAATCTTTGTGAAAAAAAAAAAATTGCGTGTACCCGCGAAATCGCATAAAACTACCACACCCAAAATTGGCAATAGGCGACGCTTTAAAAGCTGTTACCGCTCATCAGTTTAGTGTTATCAGTGATTAATGGCCCTAAAATTATTGCTCACACTGCGACATGTAACATGTGCGGCACAATGCAATCAACATTTTCACACGTAGGCGCACTCGATGCATGTTTGCATGTGTTTGTGGGAGCGGGGGACTTTAATTTTTTTTTAATTGCTTTTATATGTGACTCTACAGACGCCCGAACGCTTGTATGTGAACAGCCATCGCTGGCTGTTTAAATTTCAAGCTGATTTCCCGCTCGTGCGCGCCGCCTGTCGGCAAGCACGAGCGGGGCGGGAAGGGACGTTTAAAACTGCCCACCCGCATATAAGAAGCCGCTGTCCGGCCATTTAATTAAAACGGCCGGACAGCAGGTGGTTAAATTCTGCAGGTGTATGGGCTGCTTAACATTGACTGTTTTAGAGTTTACTACGGATCTATTAACAAATCTGATTTTTTTCTGTTTGAAGATTATGTTACGTGCAAAGTCTAACAGGGCACAAAAGTCCAGTAACAGCAGTTTCTGCTAGCGAAACAACAGGCGACATTGCAACAGTCTGTGACTCAGGTATGTTATAAAACCCTTTTCAGGCTAGTTCTATGTATAGAACTAACACACCTATACAGCCTTGCTGCTGTCAGAGATAATCACAATTACAGGCAGATATTTGATATTGAGAGTTATCTTTCAATGGCGGTTTCCTTCATTTCTGACAATTTTCCCATTTTAATGTTTCGAATAATTGTTTTCATAACTGAACTTGTATTTGTATAGTCCTGATTTTACAGTATTCTTGCTGCAATTATCATATGAAATTATCATTACACCTTGTTGATCTTTGCAAATGCATATTTGTTTCATCATTTTATAAGAGTGTTAAAGGCTTGATAATATTTGCTATAAAAATCACCATTTTCATTCAGATAATTATGTCCAGCTTTTCTTGGTTATCACTGCTATAACTATTGATTGTCATGGCAAATTATTATTATAGTTTCATCCATTCAGCCTAAAATTTTACAAAATGTATCTTATTCTGACTTCTAAGAGCTTGTTCACCTAAAGCTTTAGATGAAATCTGACTGATTGGATACTTAACTAGCATACTGATCCTCTCTGGATTTTCCTTCAAGAAGATTGCTCCAACAACATAGCTGGTCCTTTCCTCTTGTGTTGTAGCCATAACTGTCTTCACTCAAGTTTCGGTAGAGTAATGATGTCTTCTTGGAGGCTTATTTACTTTCTACCCCAAAACCACGGCAGAGTTTTTATGTAAAGCAGTTAAGGTGTTTTCCCCCCTAATTCTAAGCGTCTTACTAGTCAAGAATATCTAGTGGAAGGCCAGTGATGGTAAAGCTCAGTGTGATGCTTGGCTTCCATTTTTCTGGGCTGAACACTCTGAAGTTCACATCAATATGCTTGTGATCTGTGTAAATCTATTTATGCTAGACCTGTAGATTATTTTTATGTGATTTGTTCAGTTTTTATTACAACTTGTTTTTTTTTTAAATTCTAGCACCTGTTAAACTTTAGCATGAAGGTAACATTTCTTGCTTATTTTCTTGCGGGTTATAGTTGGAGGAGGAAGTGATCTGAGACTGTGGACTGTGAATGGAGATCTAATTGGACATGTACATTGCAGAGAGAGTATATGCTCCATTGCATTTTCTAACCAACCTGAAGGAGTATCTGTTAATGTAATTGCTGGAGGACTTACAAATGGCATTGTCCGGTAAGGATAGACTAAAACAATTGTGATCACACTTTTTTTTGTTGCCCTGTACTAATAGATAATGACCCTTATGTATAACAGTGCTGGGTCTACTGACTTGGACTTTAAAGTGGAACTTGTCAAACTAAATTGCTAAGAAGACTTTTTTTTTTGCAGTAGAGACATACTCTGTGTTTTTGCTTCTTTTTAAAAGTAGTTTTTTAATTGTTCATTAAGTGACACAGAATATTTGGAGATAACTGGATTATATTGTTGCTTACTGCAGAATCAAGCAAAAAGTGTCAGTCAAGCAAAATAACCCCTCCCACTTTCAGCATGCCTCACTTTCTTGCTAGTGTCAAAAGCTTCGTAATTTTCTTTAAATTTTATTAAGATCTTTTTCAGGCGCAGAGAAGGCCTGTAATGCAACCCTTTGAGTGCTGGGTTCTGCTAAAGGCTCTGCTAGATCACCTGTTAATAAGTCGCAGAGCACTTTACAGGTCTAGGGCTGTGCTGCAGCCATCTGGTGGGAGCCTGTCCCTAAAACCCCCTTAGGGGGCTATACCGACTGGAAGGATGAATACTTTCTGAGAGAGCTACGCTCCCTGCACCTCTGCCTTGGTCGCAGGGCACCTTGTGCACCACCACTGTGGTAAGTCTTTTGGGACCCTCCCACCCCTACAGCAGCTGTGGTGGCCTTTTTCCCTTTTCCCCCCAGGGTCGTTAGGTGGAGACCGCTGCAGACATTGTTCAGTGCAAGGGGCAGGAGGTGGGCACTTTTACACTGTGTTATGTGTCTACATGCCATTTCTGAGCCTGTGCTCCCTTTTATGCGTACCTGTCTGCAGCATTCTTCATTCGGGCATGCTTCCTCTCTGCCTCTGCTGAAGCTCACAGCTGCAAAGTTCCTCACTGGGATCGGACACAGATTCGCTGCTGCCTGCAATGATGTTGTCAAGCATGGCCAAATATATTTCCTTCTCTACATATTGGGGTTTGTGAGCATGCAGCAGTTTTACCACTGTTTCTATTGGGAGTAGGTCGGAATACAAGCACAGACCATGCAGTCCCAGGGACCCTTTCAGCTCTCAATCCACCAACAGCTCTGGAGTGGCCAGCAGCGTCCCTTGCTTAGAGCTTGACACTGATATCCTGTACAGCTGTTGCCTGCGTGAGTCCCTATGTTCCTTGGAGTCTCTTAGAGGAATTTTCTGCTGCTATGGCAGACTTTATGGCTAAAATATCTTACATAATAGCCAATTCAGAATGAAAGTGTATTTCCTCGCCCTTTTCAGATGTCTGATCATTCAGCTGAGAGATGAGGATTGCAGCCTCTCAAGCATAGGTGATTTCAAGTCTCAGGAGGCCCCATCTGCTGACATCACTCCTAGGCTCAAGAAGACCTTTTCGGTTCTCATTGATGCTGTGCGTACCTGTTTAGACCTAAAGCAGCTTGTGTGTGAATGTGCAAAAGTCACCATTCTGGGTTCCCTTAAAAGTTTTCAAACTGCTAAAAGTGTATTCTTAATGGCAACCGGTTTTGTATGGAGACTGGAAATCTAAATGTTTATACCTTGAGGAGAAGATCTTTATTAAGAAATAGTTTGTTCCTATTGTGGATCCTGCCATTTCTTGTCAGAGCAAAACTTTGACCATCCCTGTAGAGGACATCTTGGTATTCTGATAAACAACTAGAAACTCTTTTTAAGTTCCTCTATGCGCTGGTAGGCACTGCCCTTAAACAACTGGAACTCTTGCCCACTGCCCTAAAAGTTTAGTCTTTACTCCCTCTCCACTTCATACTGTCAAATCTGAGCCAAACGGACCTCAGCTTTGCCTTTTATATAGCTAATTTCACAGGTGTTATCCTCCCTGTGCTGGATGGACAAAGGTTTTAAGGAATTTACTCAAAGTGAAAGGGGGCATACACCTAATTTTGAATCTAAACCGCACTGTGTCTTAATTTTTATGCAACAGGTCAATCATTGCCTCTCTCCAGCGGGGTGACTTCCGGCCATTTATAGACATCAAGGATGCCCACCTACACATCATCTTTCCAACCCACTAGCATTATCTGCATTTTGCTGTGGGCATGTATTATTGTCCACTCCACCCAGCATATTTACCAAGGTGCTTGCTCTGCTGCAATGCCAGAGTATTCCTGTTGTAAGGTATTTGGACAACTATCCAGTGTAATTTGTTAGCCACAGTGCACTCTCCAGGTCCAGAGCAATGACAGAACCTTTGATGTGAACCTGTCTCTCAAGACTTACCCTGTTAATAGGCTCATGTATTGCACAAAGATACATTTACTGTCTATAGGCCACTGGTCTCTGCCTGTGGTGCTTTTCAGACCTTTAGTGATCTGTGCCCATGAGCTGCAGAGCCCTCTCCAGGTTTAGAGCAATGGTACAGCTTCTGGTGTAACCCAGTCTCCGATGGCTCACTGTGTATGTAAGCCTCAATAAAAATTGACTACATAGCCTTATATGTGGATGCTAATTTTTCTTTAAACCCACTCATTTAACTGAGGTAACTGTTCAAATACTCTTCCTACCTTTTGGCTCAGTTTCTCTGCATCACTTAATTTCCCAAATGGCGCTAGAACTTCTGTCCTGGATCCTTATAGCATATATTGAAATGAGAAAGCTCCCTTTTCTTATTTAAAACTGATTTTCATACACAGTGAATATAGAAAAGAATCGCCCCCCTTTTTAAAATGATCACATTTCGTTGCTTTGCAGCTTGAAATGAAGACAAACACAGTTTTTGTTGTATCCAGCTCTATTTAGTCAGTGCAACTTATAACATCCAAGTGAAAGATATAACACCAACATGTCGGGAAAAAAAAAGCTAAAACAGAATCATTGAGTTGGAAAAAGGATCACCCCTTGTGTCAGTATTTTGTTGAACCACCTTTTGCTTTAATTACAGCCTTTAGTCTGTTGGGATATGTCTCGACTAACTTTGCACATCTAGACTTGGCAATATTTCTCTCCCGTTCATTGAAGGACACAGGGCAACAGATCGTATCTCCCTGCGGTGGTGGCTTCACTCTCCGGTCTTGCTAGAGGGGGAAGTCTTTTCTTCCGGTACATTGGACGGTGGTCACCACGGACGCCAGCCTTTGGGGCTGGGGCGGGGTCTTGGGCTCCTTGACCGTGCAGGGTTGTTGGTCGCCGGAGGAGTCCCGTCTGTCGATAAATGTGTTGGAACTTCGGGCGATTCGCCTCTCTCTCCTTCATTGGTCGGACCGGCTCCAGGGTGTGGCGGTCCGGGTCCAGTCGGCACTGCGGTGGCGTACATCAACCACCAGGGCGGCACAAAAAGCGCGGCCGCGGGTCGAGAGGTGTTCGGGATTCTGTCCTGGGCGGAACATCGAGTTCTGGCTCTCTCGGCGGTCTACATCCCGGGAGTAGACAATTGGCAGGCCGATTACCTCAGTCGACAGTCGGTGGATCCGGGGGAGTGGTCTCTGCACCCGGAGGTTTTTCAGCAGCTCTGTCGTCGCTGGGGGACGCCGGAAGTGGATCTTCTGGCGTCTCGGTTCAACCGCAAGGTGGACAGGTTTGTGGCCCGGGCCCTGGATCCCTGGGCAGAGGCCGTGGATGCCCTGGTGGCCCCTTGGGGTCATTACGGTCTAATTTACGCCTTTCCTCCACTGTATCTGTTGCCTCGGCTGCTACGTCGGATCGCGGCCGAGGGCGTCACCGTCATCCTCGTGGCCCCGGATTGGCCTCGGCGGGCGTGGTACGCAGATGTGATTCAGCTGGTGGTGGACGCCCTGTGGCGCCTGCCTCTGCTCCCCGATATTCTGTCCCAGGGTCCTGTGTTCCATACTTCTTTACAGTCGCTAGCTTTGACGGCGTGGCTGTTGAGAGCCAGGTCCTGAGGGACCGGGGGTTGTCCGATGCGGTCATTTACACTATGCTCAGAGCGCGCAAAGCGGTTTCCAGGAAAATTTACCATCGTACCTGGAGGGACAATTTTGCCTGGTGTGAGGCTGGGGCCTTGTCCCCGCGTTTGTTTTCCATCAGCAGGATCCTTGCGTTCCTGCAGCGCGGGGTGGCTCAGGGGCTGGCCTTGAGTACTGTGAAGGGACAAATCTCGGCCTTGGCGGTGCTTTTCCAGCGGCCTCTGGCGTCTAATGCTCTGGTTCGCACTTTTGTTCAGGGGGTGACACGCATTGCTCCCCCTGTTCGCGCGCCTTTGGCTCCGTGGGATTCCCGTTTGAACCTCTTCGGGAGATTCCACTTATATCTTTGTCACAGAAGGTGGCAATCTTCAAGTCATTTCACAGATTTCCAATGGGGTTTAAGTCTGGGCTCTGACTAGGCCATGCAAGGACATTCACCCTTTTCTCCTTCAACCACTGTGTGGTCATTTTTGCTGTGTGCTTTAGGTCATTGTCATGTTGGAAGGTAAACCTTCTTCTCATTGACAACTTTCTGGCAGAGAGCAGCAGATTTTCCTCAAGAATTTGACTATTTTCCCCCATCCATTTTTCCCTCTATCCTGACAAGTGCTCCAGTCCCTTCTGCAGAGAAACACCCCATAACATAATATTACCACCTCGATGCTTTACTGTAGGAATGGTGTTTATTTGGATGATGAGCTGTATTGGATTTCTGCCAGACATATTGTTTGGTGTTAAGGCCAAACAATTAAATTGTAGTCTCATCTGACCATAGCACCTATTTCAATGTGGCCTCAGAATCATCAAGGTGCGTTTTGGCAAAGCTCAGTCTTGACTGCATGTGGCCTTTCTTGAGGAGTGGCTTTTTTCTTGCAACGCTCCCATACAAGCCACATTTGTGGAGAATTGGTGATATTGTCAAATGCACACAATAACCACTCTTTGTCATTCATTCCTGCAACTGGTTCATTGTTGCTGTACGCCTCTCTGACCAGTTTCCACCTGGCTCTTTCATCCAGTTTGGAGTGACGTCCTGATCCAGGGAGGGTCTGTGTTGTACCAAATACTTTCTACTTAATAATAGACTTCACTGTGCTTCTAGGCATTGGTAACGCCATCTCCTGACATGTGCCTTGCCACCCAGAGTTGATTGTTTGCTTCAGTTGCACTACCAGGGACTGAAATGATCCAGGAAAGCTCTTTTCATGCTGAGCTAATCAAAATGACCACAGCTGATCACAGTTGAAAGTCAAATGGCTTTGTGTGCCATTGAGAAGTTGAATAGCTACACCTGATTGAGTTTACAGGTAATTCTTAGGAGGGGGGGTGATCCTTTTTCTAACTCGGTGATTCTGTTTTTCTGACATGTTGGTGTTATAGCTTTCTCTTGGATGTTATACGTTGCACTGAGTAAATACAGCCGGATAAAACAAAAACTGTATCTGTCTTCATTTTAGGCTGCAAAGCAACAAAATGTGATCATTTTAAAGGGGGTGATTATTTTCTATACCCACTGTATATTCAGGCGCTTTGTTATGTAACTAACACAACTCTGTATATTTTGTGTTTTGGACTGGGATTTTCTACCTCTCATCCCTGTTATTCTGAGTTCTCTTTACACCTATTGCATTACATTATATCCTCACTAAGCTATATATGTTCTTTTCTATACCAGTGTGGATATGTGCACCCTGTCTTTAACCGCCTCCTGGCCAGCCGTTTTAAAAAAACAGCCGGCCGTGAGCTCCCTGGATGTAACAGGCCATCAAAAGACGTCCTGTCAGCCCCGCCCACACGCGGCAAACAACCAAAATGTAAAAACAGGCAGCGATGCCTGTTTACATACAAGCGATCCACCAGCTATAGAGCCGGCGGATCGCTTGTATGGGGTGCCGATCAGTGCCCACCCCCTTCTGCTGGTCCCGGGCTCCGCTGTGCCCGGTGCAAGCCCGGGACCAGCATGGTGGCTCTCTGACAGGGGATCATAGGGAGAGGTATATGAACTTCCTCCGGTCCCCTCTCTGCTGTCAGAATGCGGAAGTAATGTATATTACATCACTTCCGCATTCTTGTGTCACTCTTCAGCTTCAGAAGCTGGAGAGAAGCTGATGAAGCAGATCTCTGCTTCATCAGCTTCTTTGGGTGTCCCTAGGTGACATTAGGCTGATGTCTCCATAATGAGGACCTGTCACATCTTTGCTATCACATAGGGGGGTATCACATAGTTAAGTGGGGAAAAAATTAAAGTTGCAAAAAAAAATTAGTCACACATGAAAAAGAATTTTAAAAAACACAAAACATGTTACATGCTAACATGCGTCGGGTCACATACGTGCGAAAACCACGATTGCACCCATTACGCCTCGCACATTACATATCGCCGCGAAAGTCGTAGTGAGAGCAATCATTCTAGGGACATTAATCACTGATAACACTAAACTGATGAGCGTTAAAAGCTTTTAAAGCGTCGCCTATGGTCATGGTAGTTTTTGCGATTGGTCATGGTTTGGGTATGGTTGTTTTTTTGCGATTTCGCAGGTGGGCGCAATTTTAAACCTTGATATGTTTGGTGACTATTTACCCGACGTGACCCCGTCTTTTATATTTTAACAAAAAATTGGGTAATGTACTATAATGTAAACTTTTTTTTTCAAAATTTTCAGTAATTTTTCCTTAATATAGTAAAAAATTAAAATCCCAGTGGTGAATAAATACCACCAAAAGAACGCTCTATCTGTCCCCAAAAATATGTATAAAATTAATTTCAGTACAGCGTTGCATAAAATAATAAATGTCAATGTACCGCAGCGCTAAATACTGAAAAATGGCCTGGCCTGGAAGGGGGGTGTAAACACCTGGTCTTCAAGTGGTTAAAGAGACCTGTTGCTTTTCCCCTATTGTTTCCCTTTAAAGAATCCCTTCCTTTTCTCACTGTAGTTTATTACTAAGAAGTGGGTTTTTTTGTTTTTTTTTCCGTATGGTTATGGGTATTTTGCTTCATCTCCCAGCTGTTCACTAGTCATTTTTGTTCTAGACGCACTGTATTGTACCACATACTGTGGTTGAGTATCATCGGCTTTGGCCTTTACCTTAGAATACACTACTGTCTTTTTGTTGACCACCTTAGCTATTGGTCTAAGTTGCTTCCACCTGATTTTCTTTTCTGGTGTTTGATTAGTTGTCCTCTACTTCTTGTCGAGGTCCATCATTATTCAGATAATAGCCTCAACTTAATAGTGCTACCTGTCTTGCTCTGGTTCACCAGATTCCTCTTGGTGTCTCTTTTCCTTGTTAGCAAATTCCATAGTTGCTACCCCTATTTGTCATCCAGCTTGCTTCAAGCATAAATTCCTTCTGATTTTCTTCTAGTTAAGATTTCACACCTGTTGGATCTCTGCGGCTGTCACAGTTGTATCAGAATAACTACTGATCCTGTGTCCCTAATGAACAATAAAGTAAACAGGATTTTTGTACTTGCCGTTAAAATGCATTTCTTGGAGTTAATTATGGGACACCGATTATGACCCTCTGTGTTCTTCACCTTCACCACTGTTTGCTCACATGATGTTTGGAGGCAGCGTTATATGCGGGCTGGCTTATTGTTGTATAGTTTGCCAGTGTCCACACTTCCTAAAGGCAGCAGTAATCCAATTGTATTAGAGAAACTACTGATCCTGTGACTCTTACTGAACTCTAAGAAATGGATTTTATGGTAAGTACAAAAATCCTTTTTTATTAGTATCCTATTAAAAGTGAAAGATGTAATAATAAATTGTACCTAGGTTTTCCTGCACACATTGTTTCATATGAAGGAACTATGAGCAATAAAAGTCATTGTTTATTTCTAGGTTATGGAGTACCTGGGATTTGAAACCAGTTCGAGAAATAACTTTCCCAAAGTCCAATAAACCAATAGTAAGGTAATTGATATAATTTTTTGTTATAATAATAAGCATATATATTCCTCAGTCACATTGGAAAATCTGAACACTGCTTTACCTTAGAATGGTGGTATTGAACATGGGCCACAAACTAACAGTTTGTCTCCAAAACCAACCTGTATTACTTGTCCACACCTGTTCATGTCTCAGCTCTCACTGCTGTTTCGCTTCTGGGTTCCATGGTTGATATCTGTTCATTTGTGAAATCACTTCAGAATTCTCCAGCAGTGTGTTCTAGGTATTTTACTCTCTGCAAGTTTAAATGCTCTTGCACTCCCCCAGCGAGAAGCACTGCCAGAAACTAGCTCTGGGAGTCTGCTCAGTGCATTTGGGAGCTGCCTGAGCAAAGACCTCTTACACCACAAGGTACGGGGTACAATGTACCACTTGATTTCCCAAAGGTCTCTAATGCAAAGCATGTGTTTGATTTTCGTGCCATTCTGCTAATAGTTTGAATATGCATATTGGGTAAGAATATTGCACTTCTTTAAATTCATTGTGCATCATCTTACAAGTACCTATTGACAAGCTTCCTCCTAAAAACATTGTTAATAAGAGCCTGCTTGAATGTTTGTTTTTCTTTTAGCCTTACTTTTTCCTGTGATGGTCATCATCTCTATACTGCAAACAGTGAAGGAACAGTGATTGGCTGGTGTCGCAAGGACCAGCAACGACTGAAATTGCCCATGTTTTATTCATTCCTCAGCAACTATGCAGCATGTTAAATCTTGCTATATTTTTGTAACCTGTTTACACTTTTGAAATCTTGGTACACTTTGTAAGACTATATCAGATAATGTATATAGAAAAAAAATAGGTAAAACATGATGTTGATCATCATCATGGAATTTAATATTGGCAAAGAAAATAGAAAGTGTCGTCTGCTGAAGTATACGAACAGTTTGTGAAAAATAACCAAAATATATTTTAAAAATATCATTTTACATTTAGCTCCACATCCCTCATTATGAATGTGTTCGTAACAATTATTGGTACCTTTTAATTTTCAAAAAGGCTTAAACTCATTGCTGATTCCTGAAGGGTGTTATACAATGGTCACAATAGGATAATAACAATCGAGAATAAAAAGGCATTATGAGGGATTAAAATACTGCAGCTAAAGATGTGAGAAGCAGACAGTGTGCAGATCATACAAGATTTTTCAATCTGCTTGAATATGAGTGTGCAGATATGTTAAGTGTGTGTCAGCTTGCACACATCATTATTACTGCCCGAGTTCATTATCTACTTCAAATCAGCGTGTTTATATTCTGGCAAATTGCACTCTTCTTATTTTTATTGTGACCCAGTAAGGGTCTTTTCTTACAGAGCTTAGAAATGAAAATCTGCCTTTCCAGGACAATATATGGTGGGTTTTAGAGAAGGTTAGCTGTGTATGGTACTAGCACACCTCTTCTGAAATTGATGTGACATGTACTGGTCCCTGGCCAGGTACAGAGTTTTTGTTTCTTTTAGAGCTGCAGCTAACGATTATTTTCAAAATCGATTAGTTAGCCGATTATTAGTTTCGATTAATCGGTTAATCGGATAAACAATAAAATACATTTTAAAAAATGGCTCCAGTGATGGGAATTAGGTATCAGTGAGGCTTTTCTAACCAGTAAAATACAATCTATGCATCATCCTACAAGCTGTTACAGTACGCTGTGCCCCATTTTTTTTAATTTACCTTGTGCTTTTGCACTTATTTTTTTTATTTTTGAATCAAAGATAAAGTAAAGTAGACCAGCAATGCATTCTTATTTGCTTTTATTCTGTTAACCATTCCAAACTGCTTTGTTTGTTGAGATATATGTCACTTTATTTGACCAGTGTTTAAAATTTAATATAAAGACTGTATGTGTCAGATTTACAAGCATACGTTATAAATATTATTGCTTTGCATTTTTTTATATTTCACAAGATATATAATCACTATATTGAAAGTTTGATATTTTGCACTGTCAGATGTATTAGTTTTGTTGTACAAAATATTAATTAGAATGGGCATGGTGGATGTTATTGCAACCTTTTCTTGTTAGCTAGTGCAGGTACGTGTGATTTAGCCCCTTTTACAATATCCTTTATAATGCTGCATTTGTGCAGCTTTAGGTCACTGGAACACATCTTTTGTTTTCTGTGTGATTTATAGTTTTAAGCTTTAAGCAAATTAGGTAATATAACCTTGTCACTGATAAAAGGTGAATATGAAAATTCTTTATTAAGGTTATTTTAAAAGGTAATTTTGATGCATGTGTAAAATGCTCTCACTCTAAAATATTTAAAAAAAAACAAAAAAACTTTGTTTAAACTCTCTGGAGCTGATTCATTAAAACTAAAGGAAAGAAAATTAACACAAAAATTGAGTCAATACCTATAAGAAATCAGGCATGTTTCAGATATAATTTTATGTAAAGATAAAGCAAGAATTTGGATTGGTTGCTATGGGCAACAAATTCACTTCTATTTCCATTCTTTTCTACAGTTTCAATGAACCAGTCTTGTCTGTATTTAATTGTTTACAACCATCCTAAAACATCATATGTGACATTCCTGGTTTTGAGCCATATTCCATATATACCATTAACTCCATCCACTCCTTCAGTCACCCTAAAGGAAACTGACATAAATCAATAAAACACTTAGTAAAAAGGAATGAGTGAAATAGAACTACTAAAAATGTCATTGAATAATCTGTTTCTGTAGTAAGACTAAAAACAATAATTGAAAGCGAGCCTGTCGCTATACTAAACTGCCCAATGCAAGAAGACTGTAAAAACTCGCCTTTCTTGCTGCCCAACGCTGCTCTGTTCAGTAAAAATTATCCCCTAAAGGGACAGGGAAACAGGCACTTCTGGGAGTGTCAATCTCCTAGGTCCTCCACAGCCTTCACTGGTTCCTTCTACCGACTTCCAATCTGTAATGATGGGGAGGTCAGCAGGACAAACTAGTGAAAGCTGTGAGGGACTCAGGAGATTGACACTCCTGGAAGCATTGGTTTTTTTAGGAGCACTTGTGGGGATGGTGATTTTTACTCGGCACTCAGTGGATGGATAAAATCAACATAAGTAGAGGCAAGGGCATGACCAAAGCTTTAACGTGACTTTTATCTGTAACCAGTTCCTGATAATCAAAGGTCCTACTCAGATACCAAATATGGCCAAATGGACTAAGCCAACATACAACCAATAGCTGCTATCAAAGCTGCAAAACAAATTGAACTGTTGTTGGTAGGTTGCTTTAATCTGTTTGATCAATTCTGTAATTGAAACTTGGGTGAAAGTTGTTAAAATTGTCTATAAATTGTCAGGTCCGACAATCGTAATGCCACTGAGATTGTAGGACTGGTCAAGTCATTGTTTACTATCCACATAAAAGCTCAAAATATGTGAAAACCTGTGTAATATATGGTTGGAAAATGGCTCAGTACTGTACCTGCCAAATATGGGGGGAGCCAGCTTCCTTGGCTTAAAGCTGTAAGAAACACTTATTGTTTATTTTTTGTTTTCCTGTGTCAGTTTTGTTTTGTCTTCATGGTAATGCTGTCTGCTGCTGTTTGTTGTACAGTTGACTAATTAGGTATTATGAATATTATAAATACCATAAATATAAGTTCTTTATGTGTCTGTCTTCTTTGTTCAATTAAAAAATAAAGCCATGAATTTTGTTTCCACTAGTTTTATGGGTTTTTTATTTTATTTTGTTTTTTTAAATCATCATAAGATACATATTTGTCTTTGCTCTTTTATTAATGGATTCTCTAAATGAGTTTGTGTCCTATTACTCATGTAATATATTCCTGAAAGGAAATCTGTGCTGAGAAATATGTAGTCTCCACTAGTAACCTCAAGTGTTGTGGTTTGTAACAGTGCGTTCTCATATATGGATGAAAGGAATCGCCAGCACTCACAGGATGCAAAATTATTGTTAATTTTTATTGAACCTGCACTCCATAGGGCTCTGTAGACCTTTTTGAATAACGGTACTCAAAGTGAGGACACGGATGGTGACGTCTGTTTTCATATATGTATGAAAGGAATCGCAAGCACTCGCAGGATGCGGAATTCACAGGTGCACGTTCCATAAAAAATGGCTGTGCAAGATTACAGAAGGCGAGCCTTCTGGGTGCTAAATCTTAGAATGTATACATTTGAAATGATGACAAAAACAAGCCCAATTTAGTTAGCTCAACAGCCTCTACTATATGTACTCTATGGAAAAATCCATATCCTCTGCAGCAGTTGAGGCTAAGCCTAAAATGGGCTTTTAAAACAAAATATTAATTTTATAGTCTTTATTGACAATAAATGGTTTTACTGAACCATCTGACATTTTTTTTTCCAAATTTTTTTATTGACGTTTCATCATTTTACTATTAGATACACAAATATCACTTCAAAACAAAACAACAGGTATGTGGTGTAGTGCAGATCATATCCATGACATCTCACAAATTACATTAAAGATCCATCTAATCGCAATATGCAGGACATCGTATATGAGTACGCTAAACTATTAACCAAGTTACCTCAAGCTGCTCCCCTGGATCAGTGCTTCTTAAAGTGTGGGTCGCGACCCCATGTGGGGTCCCGCAAGTTAACAGGGGGGTCGCGATCCGAGTCCCCGGCCAGGACCGCCATCAGGGGGGTATGGCCGGTACTGGTGTGAGGGGGCCCAGGCGGCCGAGGAGGTCTGGGCTCCAAGCTAGATTGTTTGATTTCAGTTTAATGTATAAATTGCAGCTTAGTGTCGTTTTTAAGGTCGTGACACCACAACATTAAGGCAGCCGAGCTGTCTAATGTCGGCGAGCAAATGCAGGATCTGTGGGGGGCTGTGCCAGATCTCAGGGGAGCTGTGCAGGATCTGGGGGGGGGAAGGGGTTTGGAGCCTGCAAACCCCCCCACATATCCTGCAAAGCCCACCACAGATCCTGCACAGCGCCCCTTAGATCTGGCAGACTGCAGGGTCTCATGGGGGCTTTGCAGGATCTATGTGGGCTCTGCAGCCCCATGGTGGGCAGAGCCCATTACAAATCCTGCACAGCCCCCCTGAGACCCTGCAGACTGCAGGGCCTCCAGGGGGCTGTGCAGGATCTGTGGGAGGCTTGGCAAATAAACAGGTAGGTTAGACGGCTGCTTCTTCCTCGCTAGGACCCTGGGAGGCCCCTGCAAGCGGCAGTCTAATCTGCCTGTTTAGAGGTCACCGCCGCTGCCTGATTGTGACCGGCCCGACTACAGAGGCGATCCGGGACGTTCGGGTCCCCCGTGAGAGCCGTACAAGGCCGTAAGGCAGTGATGTTGAACATTTCTTAACCCCGAGCGCCCAAACTGTAATACTAAACTTAGTTTCAGCGCTGGCACTTTGAGATAAATAAATTGATTTTGCGTCACAGTTTGGGCACTCGGGTTCAAAAAGGTTCGCCATCACTGACATGGGGGATTTCTCACCCCCCTATGTGATAGCAATAACGTTAAGTTAAAAAAAAAGTTTAAAAAATTTGTCGCATATAAAAAAAACATTTTTTTTAAAGTCCCCTGCACACACACACACACACACATGCTTCGGGTGTACCTACGTGTGAAAATGACCATTGTGCTACACATGTTGCATATCACAATGTCTGAGAGCGCAATAATTCTAGGGCCATCAATCACTGATAACACTAAACTTATGAGTGGGAAAAGTGTTTAAAGCATCACCTGTGGCCAATTTTGAGTAAGGTAGTTTTTTGCGATTTTGCGGGCACACACAATTTTAAAGATTGACATGTTAGGTGTCTATTTACCCGACATGACCACTTATTTTTTATTTTACCCAA